TGCATCTTTTAATTGCAATTACTCCAAATGCTTTCCCAAATCAGGTCACAATTCCAATTATGCTTGGGATGAAAAAAAAAAAAAAAACTCCAACCTCTAAATCTGAAAGCATTTTTTCTTCGTCTCTTGCTTTTTTCCCATTACGATGCCAGAGACTCAAGACATTAAGTCGCAAAACTGACTTTTACAAGAGATAATTATAATTCGGTCCCCATCACAACCCACTATCCATAATAGGGGACCAGCTCTAATTAACCCTCATTATACTTAACAAGGCCGTCTTAGTTTCCTATATAAGCCATATATCCCAGTAATGATCGTTAATTATCTTAGGTTCCTTTTGGAGAAGAAAAGGCCAAGTTGGTATATCCATGTATGGAGAGCAAGGAGATAGGAGGAGGGAAAAAAAGGCAAATTAAGATCTTTACTGCATGGCAAGAGATAATTCCTCTGGCGGTAGGTACGCGATTAAGACTAATTACTTAGGCTTAGCTGCTAGATAAGCCGCAGCTTATTGGGGAGGGTAGCAAAAGGGAGGCGTGTAACTCTGTGTATTGGTAAACATGATTTTGTGGAGGAGAAAGTTAGTAAAGATGGGGGGGTAAGGAGTGACTGCCGGCAGCAGCGAATCGATGAAGGTTTTGATTGGCTCATTAGGGTCACATGGCGAAATACTGATGTATTCAAATCACATGCGGGACCATATATTAGGCAACGAGATTTTTCTCATTTGGAAATGATGTCGATGACATTTTAAAAGCATTGTTTGTTATAATTAGCAAAAGGTACCCAATTAGTTATAAAACAGACTCTTAAATAATTCCGGTATAAATATTTTTTTTTAAAATAAAATTTGATACTGTGTTTAAAAATGAGTTTAAACTGGAAGCACTTTGATATTTAATACTTCAAATTGATGTTTTAACGTGATAATGACAATTATAATAAGTGAGTTTCATGTTATATTGCTTTATAATAAAAATTTAATGAGTTCTAAATGTGTTTGTAAAATGTTACCATATACTAATATGTATGTAAATTGTTACAATAGAGTAAGATGTAGTAAATATGCATGTACAAGTTACCATATACTACTAATGTATATTATATTATGTGCTATGAATAGAGAAAGTGGTTATGTAATAATTTCATAGGATAAGAGTAAGCTGAAGAAAAAATTACAATGCTTGTACTTTTATTAGGTTAGGGGTTTTATTTCCTTTTTATTTCTTTTTGTTGTATAATACAGCCTGCTAAATGCAAAAGAATAAATTAATCTTAGTAGGCATGTAAAATAATCTTATAGCTATTAATAAAATTGTAATTTCTTAGCAAGTTAATATTATAATAGTATTTTATATTAAATACTAAGGGAAAAAATGAATTATTGGCTTACATTTTTATGAAAATTTTAAGCAATAAAATCTCTAAATAAATGGCTTTAAAATTTGGAAATAATAATTTATTTCTTCTAATACCTTATTTACAACTTAACAACCTCGTTAGTTCTCTTTCCCTCAAGGCAGACTCGTCGATTTGAAAAGTGTCTTCAGGTTTCAGTAACGGCACTACATCTTCTAGGTTAAATGTTTCCTGGATCGTTACCCCTTCCATCATCACTTCGTGTTTTTTACCCCTCAGAATGCAGCGAAAATGATAAGAGGTAATTGATGACTTACTTGGTCACTCTTTCTCCGCAGCAGGGTCATATCAGAATCACATATAACAAAGTTCACTTAAAAAGACGGAAAAGAAGAATGCCTCCTTTCAGCTGGCATTGCAATGAAACTACCGCTGATTTGAAAGCCTGTCCTTAGGGGATCGTCTTTGTTAATTTTCAGGTAAGAGACTATGGAACAGAAAAGAATTTTCCTCCTGGGTAGGGATCCGATGTTCAACATCTTTGAGTGTGACAAGCCATGGAGGTAGGAAAGGGAGGAGGGGCCATTCCGCGCTAGAAGTGAAGCACTGCTTTGAAGCGTGGGTCACCAGACGGGGTGTTCTTTGTTTACATTCAGAAGCTCGCTTGACAAGATTCTGATAGTATTTCGACACAAGTCAGTTCCATAGAAATCGAAAAAGGAACACTCTCGCATGAAATAAACATTCATAGTGTAATGGATAATAGCAATTTGTATAGTTTACTGACATTTACGCAAAAATCACATCTTGGTTATTTTTCGATAACTAACAACAGCGATTTTGATTATGAATTTGTTTTATAAAATTCTAAGCTGTTGCACTACAAAAATATAGATTTTAAGAAAATTGCTAAAAGAGATCTGCCAAAATTTATTTTCTAGAAGATTTGAAAAGTTTGAAACTTGATGGCTAAATGTAAATATAAAATTATGTATGTTAAAATATTAGTAATTAGGCACATAGGTCAGATTAAGTTTTTATTAAATAGAGTAACGCATGCAAGGGCTATCTGCCTAAAGAGAGAGATGCCATTGTGGAGGAATTTTGAAGAAAAACTGACCTTTGAGTGGGTATTAAAAATAATACTTATAATTTTCATTCAAATTATATTCATATATATTTTTTATGTAAAACTTTCGGGTGTATGCTAAATTAGTGTAAATTACTTTACACGAAAAATATAGTGAATGCACAGAAATTAAAGATTTGCACATGCCGGAAATGATAAATAGGATATATGTATGGATATTTATGCATGTGCTTGCAAAAAGCATGTATCTGCCTTTGACAGAATACTTAAATATTCATTAAATTATTTATAAATGTATTTGAAATGAAGAATTTATTCATTTATAAACAACTGTGAAAGTACTGTGAAGAAATCTAATGATTAAATGTATCTAATTTATAATGATTATAAATGTTATCTAAATATATAATAACCTTAATATTGAATTGTAAACATAAATTGAAATCCTGTTGACAAATACGTTATAAAACTATTTAAGCAAGAATTGTTCGTATTGGAAAGCAATCTGTTAAAAGGTATTGTAAAGCAAATGCTATGAGATGCGCACTTAAGAACGTAATAAAGAGTTTTGGAATATGTATTGTTGAAATGAAGGGTAAAAAAAAAATCTGATAAGTATAATTAAAAGAATTATTTCCTTTACATTTTATAATAACTCAGTTACAAGTTTTAAATAATACTTTAAAAAAAAAAAACTTATTTTATTCCCTTTCAGAAATGTTCAGAGAAAGTCAAATACTATTTAATACCTATTTAATTATTAGGAATAGCGAAATACTTTATTTAAAGTATTTCGCTAATTCCTTATAATTCTCTAATTTAAAATGAACCGAATAGAGCATTAATTATAAATTGACTTATTTTTCGATTTAAAAGAAGCCAAAAAATCATGTCATATTTAAGAAAGTATTTTAGGAAGAAGCTCTATAAATAGAAAAGAAATAATGCATAATTTTAATATTAATAATACAATAAACTTTGATCTTAAGATTTGTACCTTAACCGAATAAAATCGAATTACCTTAATTTTTTTTCTAATGTAATTAACGAAAACTTGTGAATATATTTCATTCAAATTAAACCATTCTGAGAAAACTGTCCTGTGAAAAGTATAGCATTTAATTCCATTCAGAATGAAATGCTGTTTAAAAATATGTTGTTTTCACATACTGAGGACTCTGAAGTGTTGTAGAAAAAGAAAATATATACATTTATATGTATATTTGCGACGTAATTACAAAATATTTACACCCGAACGCGTCAAATCCCATAGAACTCAATGGTAAATGACCCAATGTTTTGGTCACCACGTAGGGATCGCCGGTGCTTCAGAGCAGGGTACGGAGAAACTTGTTTAGGGCGACTCCATCTTACTTCCTACCTCCATGTGACAAGCGGGGGGGGGGATAAATAAGTCTTGACAACTGGTAACAGGGAGAAAGAAGAAAGAAACATTTTTTTTAATACAGTTTGAGACGCAAAAAAATTTATCTTTGGAGTGGGGAAGGCAGCAGTATTTGAGTGTTGTAGAACGGTGAAGCGAATGAAATTTTCAATGAATGAAGAAATTTTCAATTTTCCTTTGATGATAGATCTGTTAACTCTGAGCACTGCAGTCTGCAATATTAATAATGTTTACTGATTATTTGATATTGGGATTATTGGGAGAAATCAAATAAGTATGTTGTCTTTTCACTGAGGCCCACCAGCGGCCGAGCGGTAAAGTCGCTGAACACTGGTAGTTCGGTCCGAGGTTCGAATCCCGCGAACGGGCTGGCTGCATGGGTGTTTTCGTGGTTTTCCCCATGTGTAACGTGTATACGAGCCAGTTTCCCTTAGAAAGTCCTCCACGAAGGCATCCCTCCCCTTAGGCAGATAGCCCTAGTGTGCTTTGCCATAATTAAATACACATACACTCTTTTCACTGAATCACATATCCATCTATTTCGGTTTCACGGTGTTCTATTTTCACTGAATTCAGGATAATAATATCACAATATAATATTGTGCACAGCTAGTAGTAAGCCCATGTAACTGTGCAGCGGAAATGACGTCAGGAAAAAACGCCGAGGCATGTGACGATATTTCTGCCGCACGGTTACCTGGTCTTACTATTGAGACATAAAACGTATGGCTATTCACCTGTACATACAGTATTGAAAAAATCCAATCCGACGTTAATTTCAAGCATATCTACTTCATCAAAGAGCAATATTTTGAATGGATCTCTGTACATGGAATATTTACTATGGCTAAATGAGAAAATCATGCACCTTTTATTCCGAAGCTTGGTCTACCACTAACGTGAAATAATGTAACAGCGGTTATCGATACAGTTAACTATTTTCAAGCTAATTTCTGTGTTTCATTGCTTTTTATTCACAAACGGAATAATTTATCGTTCAAGTATATTTATGTGGCTTCCTTTTTGTGCAATAAATGGATGGTAATTATTTTTTAATTTATTTTTTTCTGTCAGTTTCTTAAAATTACAAACAAGTATACGCATAATTTTGAAATTAAAAAAAAAAATAAAGTAAATGCTAACCTGTGATTACACTGTTGGCATGCGAAACACTCTAAGTGGTAGACATTGCCTCTGGCTCGCATCACCATTTCAAAGGCTGGTATAGTCTTATTGCACGCTGAACAAAGTCCCGTTGTTCCAAACAACCTGTAAAAGTAAAAACTGTAAATATTTTGTAGTTTTGTAGTAGTATATATAAATGAAATGGTAAGACTTCAGTACTACTTTTCTGTAAGACATTTTTTTAAAATTTCCAATGATAATTAATACTACAAAATAGAAATATCAATAGATGCAGTAAACCCTTCTCGAATACGGATTCGCGAAAGCGATATAATGTATTTTTCTTTACTTCCAGCATGGCTTCGATGTGTAACGGTAGCACACTCGGCGGCATATTTCACAAGTGCACATCAGCGTAGCCACTGAGGGAGGGGTTTCGAAAATGGGCCAATGAGCTTCTATTGCTCTTGTGACGCTAAATCTCCGTGCAAGTAAGCGTATGTTGTTTATCTTTTAATTGGCATTTGTTTCGCAGTTATGAATGCATGGCGTAATAGTAGAAAATCTCGTAGTGCTTCCGTTTTATGAGTTTAATTAATCGCTACCATTTCCCTTTCGCGATTTTTTACTACGCAATAATATTTGGATTGATGTTCATGGCATATTATCGCTCTTTACGTCGAGAAAATGACTCAAGCTACAGTTAGCCTCGAATATTATGCATTTACTAACACCTGTGGATTAAGAGAATACAAGTATATAGTTTTTTTTTTTTTTTTTTTTAATTGAGATGAGAAGGACTGGAAGTGTTACAAGAAATCTAGTGTTTTCTTACTTTAGTGCTTGCATTCTTTCGATTTTGAAAGTGTAAGATTCAGAATACATATTGTGTATGATCTGATTATATCCATTGTTAACACTAAAAGTTATATGTGAATAAATTAAATTTATTCGTTGTGAATAAGATACATTTATTCTGTTTGATGAGTATTTCTTGTGTAGACAGTATATTTAAGAGTGAAGAGTTATTAAACGTGAAATTTAACGAACTAAATGTATACGACTGCAAATTAGTAAAGTTCACTTTAAATAAAATTCTGCATTGGCTATTATTATAGAACATCTTTTTCCTAAAGACTGCAAAAAAAAATGGTTCTGACTTCTGTTTACATATATAATTGGTGTAAATATTTTTCTCATATGCATAGTTTTATGTAAAGATAGCATTCGGGATCAGATGTTTATCACGTATTTCTCTCTTCATCTTATTTACCACTTATTAAGTATTATTTCAAATGCATATTTTTGCGGAGTATCCAACATGCGTTTGTATTTATTTCAAATTCTTTCAACCAGGTAGTGAAATCTTCACATTTGGTCTAACTTTGCAATGAAAAATTTCAGAAGAAATTGACGATGCTTTAATTATTTTGTACAGAAAGTTACATGGCAGAATATTTTCAGCATGCTTGCTTAAATCTTAAAACATGCAAAAGGTCATGTGACATGAGGGAAATATTACTTGATGCCCATTAGTCCATCCTAGAAGCCACTGACTCGGCTACACAGATGTGAACTTGTCAAATATGCGTCCCGGCGAAGGTAATGCACTTTTATCACGTAGACATAGCATCACGTATACATAGCTAATGCACTTTTATCACGTAGCATCACATATCTTACTTTTGTCTTCCTCATCATCCCCCCCTCATATTATTGACTCTTCTCCCTACATGTATGGTAGAATTAAATCAAAACTTCTTTCGTCTGTTTTATCTGCTTCATATTGAATTTATTTTTGTTGTCCTACATTTATTTATTTTCATTGTTTTGTGTGAATAGTTTGTTAAGTTTATATCAGCAATCTTCTGTGGTCAGGAACAAACTAATCCATTAATTAAACTTTTCGAATGACAGACTGAAACGAACTGCATTCGTGGACCGATGTTTCAATGCACAAAAATAACCCCATAAAGACCCAGACACACAATACCAATACCACTGGAAATAGCAATCCCTGTTTTGAAACATCCTACTCTGTTGTTGTCACTGATATCCTAGACTGCTTCGTTAATGTTGTTTTGCACATTTTGTAAAGAGCAGGTATTTTTTAGAAAGCAAGGCATTTGAAGTATTCAGAAAAAAAAAGGAAATAATTAGATCAAATGAATAAAATGTCACAGTCATATTGGGAAACATTTGCTCTTGAAAAACAGCTTATCGCTTTTTTCAAAAACGCAGTTTAAGGTTTTAAATACTTTTGTCTGCATAGTCATGTAGTGTATATATAATGCTTTTATTTCTCTAAAATGTTTCAGAAATTTTCGACTTGTCGATTTATAGACTGTGCTATTCGAAGCTTTACGAAAAACATCTAATCCGCATGAGATCCAACTACAGATTCTATTTACATTCTGTGTAGCCAAACATTTTGTGGGCCACCAGCGTGAGTGAGTATTTAGAGTGAGTATTTAACGCCTGCTCTTTTAAGGTAATGGTTAATAAATTGATTGGGCATTAAATTATTTCGTTTTTGAGCTTTCCGAAGAGAAATATTCATGTTTCCGCACTCCAGAAACGTCCTGAAATTCACGATATTAAAATTTCGAACAACAAACTAAGCATCATCACGCCCACCAGCGACCGAGCGGTAAAGTCGCTGAACTCTGGTAGTTCGGTCCGAGGTTCGAATCCCGCGAACGGGCTGGCTGCACGGGTGTTTTCGTGGTTTTCCCCATGTGTAACGTGTATACGGACCAGTTTCCCTTAGAAAGTCCTCCACGAAGGCATCCCTCCCCTTAGGCAGATAGCCCTAGTGTGCTTTGCCATAATTAAATACACCACACCACCACCACAAACGTTTTGTGTTTTTAAGATACAATAACACGCCGAACAAATATTAACTTTGTAATTCTAAGTTAATGTTGGAAGTGAAGAATCCCAAGAACTGATAAGCGAATAATCGCTTAAGTTCGGGTGACAACAAACAACAAGATAGAAGGCTAACCAACCCTTTATTATTCCAATAAGATTTAACGAAACTCCGCCTGGGAGTGCACAAACAAACCCGACACTTGGGCTTGAACTTAAGAGACTAAGAATTAAACTAAAATTAAGATTAACTACAGAAATATAGCCGAAGCTATCAAGATTCAAATCGAGTTGGCCCCTTAACTTATTTGACTCCGAAGCTTAGCAAGGGCCTGAGTGCGGTCGAGCGTAATAACGGCTTTCAGAGAGAGAGTGGCCAAAAAGGCAAACGCGCGTAAATCAGAAACTCTGATTCTCTCTGACTCTGTAAGTAACTTCGTGGTTTAAATACTGCTCCTCCACATTAAATATTCAACAAGATTCCAGACCTAAGTTCTGGCCGGAAGTAGTAAGTTGAATTTAGGAATTGGACAGGAAAGGAACTTAATATTTAACTGTTAATAAAATTAACATAATCCTTACAAACTTAGAAGCCAAACAACAAAAAATGAGCGTTATATATTCAAAGGCCGACGAATGTGGCCCGATAGTCGTCATGGATAAGAACACTTACATCGGTGGTGTCACTAAACTCTTGAACAAAGGACCATATAATCCGATCCCTAAAGATGCTTCACCTTCGGACCTGTCAAAAATAAAAACTGCGATCAAATCTTCACAAATCCTTTCAAGCAAACTTAAAACATTCGCTTATCCCATCTGTTGCGAATTGTGCCAGATTATATGCTCTTCCTAAAATTCATAAAAGTGGTATTTCCTTTCAGTCCTATTTAGGCCAACCAGCGGCCGAGCGGTAAAGTCGCTGAACACTGGTAGTTCGGTCCGAGGTTCGAATCCCGCGAACAGGCTGGCTGCATGGGTGTTTTCGTGGTTTTCCCCATGTGTAACGTGTATACGAGCCAGTTCCCTTAGAAAGCCCTCCACGAAGGCATCCCTACCCTTAGGCAGATAGCTCTAGTGTGCTTTGCCATAATTAAATACACCATACCTTATCAAATTTAGGTACTGCTGCACTTGTATACGTTAGCTAAATATTTAGTTTCTAGATTTTCAACTCCATTAAATAATTTAATAAAATAAAATTTACACCATAAAAATTTCAATAGAGTTTGTAGAAAAGGTTAAAAAAAATTTCTCCTAGAAATTTACTCATGGTTTCTTTTGATGTAAAATCATTATTCACCAATGTTCCAATGGAGTGCATTGAGATGTCTGGAAACCAGATTTCGCGAATTTCATTTCTCTTGCATCGAAATTGATGAGCTGATTTCTCTCACTCGACTCTGTTTGAAACAAACGCATTTCGTTTTTCCAAAATAAATATTACAAGCAAACTGAGGGATTAGCCATGGGAAGCCCCCTCAGTCCCATCCTGGCTGATATCTACATGCATTATTATGAATCAAAATTGTTTGAAACTTTAAACTTCCTGGTATGGTTTCGCTAAGTAGACGATACTTTTACCCTGCTTGAAGGTAATAAAGATGATTTAAATAAAGTTCTTTCAACAATGAATTCTATTGATCCTACTATTCAGTTCACTTTTGAACTTGAGACTTGCAATACTTTTCCGTTTCTCGACATTCTGGTCACACGTAACACATCCAACTTCAGTACTACGGTTTACCGTAAACCTTCATCAGTTTGCCTTCCACCACATTTCAAATCATGTTATCCGATTAAACAAAAGTTAGCTTCATTTTATTCCTATGTTTTCCGTGCTCTTCAAGTTTGCCCCTCCAAACTATCCCTTGATGAAGAACTAAATTATTTAATAGCAATAGCTATTGACAGGGGCTTTTCACCCAACATTATTAATCAAGCAGTTAAAACATTCTTATCTCAACACACCAAAAGGCAGACTCTTGTTTTAGGAGATTCTGTTGTCATTCCCTTCTTTCCATCAACTAGCTATAAAGTTGCACGTATTTTCAGAAATTTAACTTTCGGGTCGTTTACTCTCCCATCAATAAATTTCCGAGTTCCATACTCAAGGACCCCCATTCCGGATATGAATTCCTAGGGTATTTACAGGATTCCTTGCAAGTGTGGTTTAATTTACGTTGGCCAAACTAAGACAGCTATAAAATTTCGAGTTAAGGAACCTGAGGCATATCTTAGAAAAATGAAACACAGAAGTCTTCTGTTGCCCA